AAAGAGTTTCATCCAGGTTGAATGGACAAGTACATGCGTATTCCATACAAAAAGTGTCCATCCTATGTAAAAAAAAAACATTTTTCATGACGTCATGATGACAGCACACATTTTTTGAAAATTTTTTGTATCTATCTACGACCTAACAAACCTTTTTGCAAAAAAAGGATTTCGAATTGAGACATGAGTAAAAGGTCCAAAAATTGAATAATTTATATAAAATGACATGATGACATCATCGTGACGTCACTGCAATTTTTGACTATAACACTTCCTGGAATATCTGCATACCGAGATTGAACCCAATCGGACCTCAGGTTCTCTAGATATAGCGACTTAAACTATTCCGGTTTAGGATGATGTCAACTGACACGTGATGACGTCATTATGACGTCATGATTCGACCTCAATCTTCAGATGGTGGTCTAAGTGTGTGCCAGATTTGAAGTTGATCGGACGGTATTTTACATAATTTTTGAAAAAATTTGAAGAAAATATTAAAATTTGAAAAATTCATAAAAAATCAGACGATGATGCCATGATGACGTCACTTCAGTTTTTGAATGCTTTTATCTACACCTACCTACCCACCAAGTCTCATATCGAACACAAAATCACGTTTTTGATGACATCATGATGACGTCAAACATTTTATGAAATTGTGTGCATCTATCTTTCACCTAACAAACATGTTACAAAAAGAATTTTGAATTTACCATGTTCCATTGATGAGATTTGAGTAAAAGGTCCAAAAATTGCATAATTTATGTAAAATCACAAGATGACGTCATCGTAACGTCACTGCAATTTTTGTCTATAACACGTCCCGGAATACTTGCATACCAAGTTTGAACCCAATTGGACCTCCGGTTCTGTAGATATAGGGCCTTAAAGTATGCACCTTTAGGATGACGTCATGTGGCATGTGATGACGTCATGATGACGTCATGATTCCGCATACATCTTCAGATGGTTGTATAAGTGTGTGCCAGGTTTGAAGTCGATCGGACCGTAATTTATATAATTTTTACAAAATTTGCAGAAAATATTAAAATTTGAAAAAATTCATAAAAAATTAGATGATGATGTCATGATGACGTCACTTCAGATTTTGGATGCTGTTATCTATACCTACCTACCCACCAAGTTTCATAACGATCGGACATACCCTTATATGTGAATAAAAAAATCACATTTTTGATGACGTCATGATGACGTCACACATTTAGCGAAATTTTGTGCATCTATCTATGATCTAATAAACCTGTTACAAAAAGAATTTCGAATTTACCACATTCCGTTCATGAGATATGAGTAAAAGGTCCAAAAATTGAATAATTTATATAAAATCACACGATGACGTCATCATGACGTCACTGCAATTTTTGTCTATAACATGTCCCGGAATACTTGCATACCAAGTTTGAACCAAATCGGACTTCCGGTTCTGTAGATATAGGGCCTTAAAGTATGCTCTTTTAGGATGACGTCACGTGACACGTGATGACGTCATGATTCGGCGCACATTAATAATAATGCTACATATTTATCCTTTAATGTTGCTTAATACTTATATAAGGTGTCAACCCAATCAAATTTCTAATTCATTAGATATGCTAATTAGGGTCTTACATTATAACTTCCGGTGACACCGGAAGTAGAGGTCACATGACCCGGACATACCAATTTTTATCTGTAACACTTCCCAGTGTGTATACCTGCCAGGTTTGAGATCAATCGGTCAAATGGTTCTATAGTTATAGGACTGTAAAGATTGCCTCATTAAATATTCATGACATCATAACATCACAATAATTAAGTGCACAGTAATAATGATACAATATAATTATTTGTCAATATAGCTTTGTATTAATGTGAAGTTTCAACCTAATCAGATTAATAATTCATGAAATATGATATAGGGGTCTAAAATTACCACTTCCGGTAAAACCGAAAGTGAAGGTCACGTAACCTTGACATATCAATTTTCATCTATAACACTTCCCTTTCTGTATACCTACCAAATTTGAGATCAATCGTTCAAATAGTTCAATAGTTATAAGGCTGTAAAAATTGAGTCTATCAATACACACATTTGCTATGTACTTGTGAAAATAACCATTTTTGAAGATTCTGTCAGAAATCTGCCAAAAATATCCATTCTGTCAAATATTCTGTCAAACTTGTTTTTTACAAAAAAATTCTGCCAAATTTAGCCGAAATTCGGCTAAAACGGTCACCCTGTTGGTCAGTCCGCTCCCTCATGACCACGTGCGTGTGTGGTGTATGGGAAGCGGGCGATGCCGAATCTGGTCGATGTATACGCACACACTTGCGGCTTGCATTGGTTGAGTCGGCATTTTTTATTTCAACTTGCAAGGTATTTTTTTGCTGACGCCGCGTCGACTGTGTGAACAATTTGACAAGCTGGGAACTTGGCACTGTTGAGGCAAATGTTTACGCTATCATTTAAGGGGCAATTCAACATTATATCTGTACGGATTGATTTATTAGCAATTTTTGAAAAAGGAAAGGTCTTTTCAATGGAACTTCCGGTCTGATGACGTCATACGCCTAAAACTTTGCACACCTCTTAAGTGGGTCAAGGTCATCATATACACCAATATTTAGGCGATTCCGACAAACTTCGCCACAGACATCTATTCAAAATACATTTTTGAAAATTTTCAACCTGTCGCTAGAGGGCGCTCGAAGATAGCATGACGTCATCAGTAGATGATTTGAAGAATACTATCAGCCAAGAGACTAACACCGTTAAAAGCAAGTTCATATCTATTACCACTTTTAAATAATAAGCCACTTCCGGTTTTGGCCTTTTTCGACCGGAAGCAAGGGTCACGTGATTGCACGCACACTGAATGAAATAAAGACCTCAACCTACTCTACCAATTGCCGGCAACAGAATGCTGGGGACGCGTACGGTTGATTTCTTAAGCATTTTTAAATATTAAAAGTGTCACAATTTAATTGCCTATAAATAAACACCGGATGACGTCATCATAACGTCATCATTACACAATGTTGTTTAAATTAGGGTCATTCTTTGGACAAAGATTGGTGTAAATGAATTACTGGCAAAGTGTCGAAAATGCCCTCTGAAAATTGACATTTTTTTTTAAATTTCTGTGTACAAAGTCTATGGGAAAAATTAAATATTCAAAATTCTATAATAAATCACATGATGACATCAGCATGACGAAAAGTTTCAGCGCACATCTTCAGATGGTGGTCTAAGTGTGTGCCAGGTTTGAAGTCGATCGGATTTGAAAAAAAGCCAAAAGTGACTTGTAGAACGAAAACACGTGTTTTCCTATGAGAAAAAAGTCTAAAAAACAAAAGAGAAAAAAAAAATAACAGAAACAAGAGCTGTTTCGGTGTGTACACCGAAACAGCTAAAAATTGGTGATGACGTCATCATGACTTCAACTCAGATTTTGCATACTATTAACACTATCTACCTACCCACAAAGTTTCAAGACAATTGGACTTACCCTTATAAGTGTTTTTAAAACTCACATTTTTGATGACGTCATCATGACGTCACATATTTTTCAAAAAAAAAATTGTGCAGATACCTATTACATAACAAACCTAATACAAAAAGAATTTTGAATTTAGCATGTTTGAAGCCAATCGGATGAGTAATAGTGTTTAATTTTGTAGGCAGAATAAAATTGTAAATATTTTAAAAATCGTTAAAAATCTACCGATGACATCATCGTGACATCATTTCAGATTTTGTGTACAAGTACTGTTATCTACCCACCCACCAAGTTTCATGACGATTGGACCTTCCCTTATATGTGATTTAAAAAAGTGTATTTTTGATGATGTCATAATTACGTCAATCAATTTTCACCATTTTGTGAATATACTTGTTATCTCGCAAACATAATACAAAAAGAATTTTGAATATAACATATTGGGTTCGTGAGATATGGCTTAAAGGTCCAAAACTTCAAAAATCTATATAAAATCACAAGATGACATCATGATGACGTCACGATGACGTCACGATGACGTCACCTCAACTTTTACATATAACACATCCCGGCCTACCTACATACCGAGTTTCAGCCCAATCGGACTTACTGTTCTTTAGATATATGGTCTTAAAGTTTGCATGTTTAAGATGACGTCACGTGACCCATGATAACGTAATCATGACGTCACTCTTCGGGACACAAGCTCACTGTGGGGTCGTTATACAGGGTAAGTTTCATCAGAATACGAGTATGTTTTAGGTCAAAAGTGGCGTGGTTAATAAAACATGTACAAAGTCTATGGGATTTAGTTTAGAATAAAAAGAAAAGGGGGGAAAAAAGAAATATAAAAAATCAGAACAAAAACAATGCTTTTCTTCTTTTAAGCAGAAAAGCAAAAAGAATTAAAAAAATCGGAACAAAAACAATGCTTTTTCCGCTTTTAAGCAGAAAAGCAAAACTTCAAAGTGCAGGCGGCCCGGTGGGTAAAAAAATCCACCTGGCCGCTGGACTGGAAACAATCAATCTTTTTATTTTGGCCTGAACTAAAGCATGTCTCAATACATGAAATATGCCACTTATTTCCGTGTCCGTTGTTTGTGGAGTGAAAAACAAAACAAAACAAAAAAACCACATCGCCGCATCAAGTCTGGAACTTTGGTCTGACCAAAACATTGTCAAAACATCGTCGGAACTTCGTCATGTTTTCCTACTCTTTTGAAGTTTTTGACCAAAAAGGTATTTATGAATGGGAATAGTAATGTGGCAGAGCAGTATTAAACGTCTGCTTTAAAAGTTGGTAGGGCCTGGTCGCCAGTAATGGTCCGAACCCAATTATTTGGACCAGGCACCTACCCGGTTTTAAACCAGACATTTCAAACTGCTCCACCACATTATTATTCTCTTAATATAAGATGAATTAGTAAAAGACTTAATTACAACTTAAAATCATTAGAATCTGTCCCATTTACATGTAAACTGCAGAAACTCACTTACCTGAGCATTGTATGCGTCTAACTGCGCATCTAACTCCTCCGCAGTGGGAGTCGGTCCTTTATTGCCGCCTCGGCCACGCCCTCGGCCACCGCGTCCCCTGAAGCCACCACGCCCCTGGTTACGCCCACCTCTCATGTTATACTGGTTGCGCCTAGCATTTGAAAATGACAAAAAAAACATTCATCACTCACCACAAAAGTGAACTTGATGAGAACAAAATATTACCCTCTTTTAATCATCTGTTAAAATTCAATTGCAATACACCATGGGGTCTTAGACTTGCCAATAAACAAATATTTTTCATGGCCACATGTCAACTAACCCTCCTCCAACTCTTCCCCGTTGTATCCTTCCCTGGTTTCCTGTCCTCTGGGTTGGTGGTCTCATCTGTTGTTCATACTCAAGTGGTGACGTAACCAGCTCAATGTTCATGGGGCTACCTGCAAAGAAGATGATTAAAAAGAAAAGGGCGGTGATCCTACGTTGTTTATTATTAGGCCCAAATACTGCAGTTTTTGGTCTTGTGCAATGCACATGACCATCGAAAATTCCACTGGAATTTCTGTGATTTGTTTTACTTTTATTGGCGAGGCATGTACCTTTAGTTCATCGCCGTTATAATTATGTGTGCAAAGGGTGTGTATCCAGTTCGTACATGGGGGTACTTAAACTTAAACATGGGTATTGCACACGGTGAAGCATTGCAACTTGAGTGTTTAGCCAATGGACTGATTGGCTTGTAATCAGCAGTGCATGCACGTGTATGACAAAGTCACTTACGAATGCGAAAAGCCCTATGTTCTGTTCGAACTGTTCCACTTTTCCCATAGGTTTTGTACACGTTTATATTCTACAAGCCACTTTGGGAATTATTTTAAATCCGATCAACTTTAAACCTGGCATATAATCATTAACCATTATCTGAAGATGTATGCCGAAACCTTTCGTCATCGTGATGTCATCAGGGGTTACGTGACATCAATTTAACTGTTCATTTTTCACAGTCTTATAACTATAGAACTATTGGACTGATTTATCTCAAACTCAGTAGGTACATGTACATAGATGAAAATTGGTATTCCAAGGTCATGTGACCCCTACTTCCGGTGTTACCCAAAGTGTTAATTTCAGACCCTTATTATCATATCTCATGAATTATAAATCTGATCGGGTTGATAAGGCCAAACAAAAAAAATGGTGTGTTTATGGTAACCCGAACGATCTGGAATTTGTATGGCCAAATTGCCGACCTCAAACTTTTTATTGCCATTTTGAAGGTTGATATTAATAATTCTTAAATGAACAAATTTCAAACATTTCAAGTAGCCTACTTTCAATTATTTGCCACGAACATAAACCATTTTCCACACTTGAAACTGACCATGATTTGACACAAACATACCTGTGTTAAACGTGCGAAAATCACGACGATCTCAAAACTTGAATTCTCAAACTACATAAAGTACGATTATTTTTGCACAAATGCATCGGGGTGAACTAGTGCGCCTGGCTGACGGACGGCAGGGCTCTCCCCACATACAAACATGCGTATTGTGTATTGGCCCGATATGCTGGAATTGCGGCCCGATACGCCGACAAAAATGCTGATCACATTTTTCAGCCCCCGATACGCACAATATAATTATTATACACGCCATTAAAATGCACAAAAATCCTGTTTTTCTGATGCATGTGTGATCAAAATGCACACGATGACGGGTTCTGTCGACCCCCAGCATCCAGGTCTAGCAGCGCATACAGCATGGTACACTGGTTCCCTTCGCGTGCTAACGGAATCAATGCTATGATGAAGAAACAGAACCAGCGACTACAACCTATACATACATCGTACCATGATATGATGATGTAGTGCAATCGGCCGAAGTTGGATTGTAAAAATACCAAACAAACATCGATGGAGAAAGAGAATTTCTGTGAATTAATTCACAGAACGTGATCTTTATTTTCTGTGTATGTGTTTTCCATTAAAATGACGAGATTGCAAAGCTCGAACCTGTGGCCAAACATCGTAGCGTGTTTCTGTAGTAGTGCAAGATTTTCGGCCACGTGGGATGGGCCGTACACAGTGCAGTATAATGCACGGCGCGATGTATGGCCGGCGAGACTGAATGTTGGCGGTGCCAGCAGCGGTGATGTCATTAAGCATATAGTGGAATCACCGACCTCAAATATATTTTTAATTAGGTGAGGCAAGTTTTAATCACTTTTGATAACCAGTCTTGATAATTTTCATGGCGCAATTGAAAATAATCAAGGTACAAAATAAACATGATTCCTTGCTCTAATATTATATGATGCTCCATTACTCAGCACCCCAAAAAAATTGGCGAAATAATTTTTCCGACCTACCAACGCTAATTTGAAAGGTATGTAATCGGAAGCAAATGTGATTTTTTTTCTTCACCTTAATTTCTTAATTTGAATTTTACTTGTAATCCATACTTTTCTAGTTCAGAGCTTTAAACAGGTTGTGAAATGTTTTTTTTTTTAAAGTTAACAATTTGGTTTTTTTTTCTTTAATTACAAAAATATTAGGGGCCTACAAGATCTCCTCTGAATTTTAAGGAAAAATCTGGAGTTAAAGAATCCCCAGATTTGCTCTAAAATGCACCAGAGAGCTTCCAAAGTTCAAAATTTTTAGGGGCCCTTAAGCGGGCCCCAAACCCCACGCCATGGCTTTGCAGGTTGTTGAATCACAGCAAAACTTCCCCCACAGGTTTGAAAAATCCTGGGGAGAACCCTGGGATGATACGAATTAATTTGGAATGAAATATATCGATTGAATATCTTGAATGCTTGCATAATTGAATAATGTTTTTATACAATTTTTTTTTGCGAAAGAACACGCATGGGCATGCAGAACTGAAATGAAAAAAAAAAATTACAAAATAAAATTATTTCCCTACCTACCTACCTGGATTTTTTTTCAGGCCGTTACCGTAAACACACCATTCTTTGTTTGGCCTAACTAATAAAAGTAAGAAGCAACATTCAAAGATTAATATGTTGCATTATTATTACTGAGCAGTTTATTATTCTCATGACGTCATAAATATTTAATGAGGCAATATTGTGACCGCCATATCTCCACAATACAATAAGTTATGATTACAGTTCTTTGCACATTTCCTCATATTGGACTGAAAATGCACCTCCTGGAATGTCAAGGTCATGCGACCCTTACTTCCGGTTGTACCAGAAGTGTACTTTTTAAAGGTATTGGTAATAATTTCAATTTTTTTAGATACTTTTTTTTGGAAAAATCATTTGATCATTTTGTTTACGGTCCAACAGACAATCAAAATTGGGAACAGCTCTGTGGTTGTTCACAACCACAATCTCTAGTTTCTTTTTTTTCCCCCCACTTTTATCATACGTTTTGTACACGTTTTCATTCTACAAGCCACTTTGGGAACTTATAAAAATACGATGAACTTTAAACTTTGCATAGTCATTAGCCATCATCTGAAGACGTACATGTATGCCGAACAATTTTGTCATCATGATGTCATCAGGGGTCAAGTGACATCAATTTAAAGGTTCATTTTTTACAGTCTTATAACTATAGAACTAATGGACTGAATTATCTCAAGTTGGCAGGTATACCAAAAAAAAAAAACAAAAAAAACAAAACCCAAATGTCGGGACCAAAACAATTCACATAGGGATGTTTGTGAATTGTTTTCATTTTGCTGAAAGACCACTTATATGTACCTTCCATGGACAGAAGTTTAAAACGGTGCTTATGTTTAAAATTCCAAAACTTGAAAAGTACATGAGTGATTTGAATGATTCTTGTACTAAAAGAAAGCTTATGATTGGGATTGTAACTTTCATATCCTAGATTTTGAAAGTGCTACACAGACCTTCACTAAACAAACTAATCCCGACATTTGGGTTCAGGTTTTTTTTTTACTCACGGTCCTGCTGTATAGACAGTGTTATAGATGAAAATTGATATGACGTCGTCATCATGACGTCATTATACATGTATGTTGCATCTAGGCCTACTCGTATATATCTTGAGATCGGTTTGGCCTCAAACGCTACATATACAGGGTGGACAAAAAAAAAATAAAACCCATAAAAAATCTGATAAAATGTGATGAAAACGATCTTTTACAAGAAAAATCAGTTCATACATAAGGATGTGCATAATCAATATTTTTCTTGCTTTAAATTTATGATAAAATACATGTACATGTAACTTTTTATGGTCAAAAGCTCAAATCCCTCAACATGTGCCCACGGGGTCATCGCCATTAAAACTGTGATTTTATTAGGAAATTTAGGGAGCCTCTGATTGTCTTAAAACTTGATGGGTAGTAAGTTATGTGAATATCATCACTTAATTTTATTCAACTGAAACTCTCTAGGCATTTTTGCTAGGATGTAACCTAAATCCTGCAACATCCTCCAACTGCCTCCATGTAAAAATTGCATACAACCTCAAACCTGCAAAATCCTCCATTATTTCTTGAATGTGGTCCTTGGAGGGGTGACCACTGCCTCAATCCTGCAAAATCCTCCAGCAATCACTGTCAATATATTGAGGCAGAGCTAGTGACATTCTGGAGCAGTGTGGATGATATGAAGTGTAATCTGGGCCTAAATTATGCATGGCTGAGCATGAACACCAGTGTCAAGACACAGTGCAACCTCCGAAATCAGCAACACATTTGTGCCATTTTGCCTCAATCCTGCAAAATCCTCCATTTTGCAAAGAGGATTTTGGAAGATTCAGGAAGGTTAGGGTTAAAGTGTTCCATGTTTCAATAAAAAAATGTTTACAATGTTTTGAATGATTTTGAAATAAAATATATTCATAGGTCTTCAAAAATCAAAAATCAATAAACAACCTCAGGCAAAAGCAAGTTGCACTGTCCATTAAGAACAATCAACAAATTCTAGTTAAATTTAGCGTGCTATTACAACTCCAGATAACTGCTGTCATTTTCTTGGTCTCATAATAACCAGTTGATAAAAGACAAGATCACAATTACTTATTTCAGAAGTAGTTATTTCCCATCTGCTAGTTAAGGCTGTGCATCGGAACCGGGTAACTGTTGATGTCAGGAACTGGTTCCGGATTATGGGATGGGGGCCCGTAACCAACTTTACAAATTACGTAATAACTTCTCAGAAAAAGGTTTAGAATGTCAATTGTGGGAAATTTTCAAAATGCAAACAAGGCTACAAGAGAAAACAAAACACATTTCATGCATATGAAGCTCGCGTACGTTGCAGTTTACATAGTACATTATAAAACTAAAGCTCAGTGTACACTATTTTGGGGTTGGGTTTCTTTTACGGGTTCCCGTGTTTTTCTTCAATCGGGTACCCGGTTTCCATGCTACAGGTACAAGTATATACACACCCCTACAACTGGTAGTTCTAAACACAATACATACATGTACCA